GGGTTTATACCATCTCTCAAACTGATCTTACTCATTAGTTTCTCAACCTGCTTTAACAGCAGCACAATGGCCCACTTTTCATTGAATATTCGGCAGCAAAATTCCACCAGGTTTCTTGTACACATTCAGTGGTTAACCTTTCAAATAATCTTGCGCAAATATTTTTTTTATATATATAATTATGTGGATATGTTTGAATATATATTTTAGTCTGGTAAATTTGTGATATTTTGTGAAACCTATTTATGTTTTGTCGATATAGCGTTACGATGCACGATTAGCGATGTTGTTATGGTAACCGAAAAGTCGAACTCTATTCGTGATATACATACATTTAGCACACTCTGGCAAACTTGTAATATATTTTTTGCTTATTGAAATGTTGCCGAAACATATAAACACCTTTGTAAATTTTTAAAACATCCATCTTATAAATTATCATAAATAATTAAGCCGGTGTGATTTGCTGACTGCTTCGCCATTCACAAACACACATCCTCTTCAGTCGCTCATTTGTAGTGCAGCTGTTGCGCCTTTTCTCGTTTGCATTGTGCAGTGTGTGCTGCACAGCCTTCACTTTTCAGTCCACCTGGGTTGACACAGTGTGCCAGCCCTCATACACAACTATTACCGGGACGCCTTTATCAGTGTCCAGTAATTAAATTGTCACCATTTAATTTTCTGGCCACACTGATCCTTTTGGAGCAATCCGCTCTTAATAAAGGATCTAATCGAAATGCTATTTCGAAGTGAAACCAAAAAAAAGGCGTTGAAACGTGGCCCAAGTGTGGCGAGCTAGCTGGGATCGATAAAGGAGAAGAGGATTGATTTGTCCCTAAAATTAAATTTATTGGGGTCATGGTTTTATGCTGATACCTCGTAGAAATAGTGTTTACTCTCAAGCACCATTCTGAGGCGAATTTGTAAGGGGTTATTTAATGTTCATATTTATAGGTTTTGGCTTGTAACTTTTAAAGAAAGTTACATTTAGTCTGCTCTTTCTTCAAAGACCATTAAACTTGTCCAAACGAGCTGTCTAACAGGAATGAATAGGGGTCACTGGAACCTCCCTGACGCTTTACAACAACACAACACGGTTTCTACAGTGTTCTTGTTCTAATCTGTCGATATGCCAGCACGTGCAATCCAATAGTAATTAAGCTAGAAATATTGCGTTTGGTCAGGCTTGTTACGTTTTTCAACAGGCCTACTCCTATATTTTGAAAAGAAAAATCATACAGTTGGAAATTTTTAATTTCTTAAAACACAAGGGGTAGCTTATTTAAGGGTAATATCAGCTGCGTATAGCCTAAGGGTAAACACATTCTTATGATTTCATATATTCATTCGTAATTGATCATCTTGATGCATAACATAGGCCTAGGTCTTGCAGAAATGTCCGTCGTCATTAGTGTTACTCTCAAAGTTCAGCGGTGTTACTCGCAGTATTAGGCTATTTTAATCGGTGTGTTTTGACTTAAGTAATAAATAAATAGGATAGGCCTAAATAAATAACTAAAGTAGCCTAAGTAATAAATATATAAATAAACAGTAATACAGTTGACACAAATTGGATTTACGTGGACATTTATAAATTGGCCTACATTTTTTCATTTAGATTGCAATTTTTAACAGGGACTCAAATTTGTGTGTTTAATGCTTTTAATACTTAGGATTCACGCAGGTATGTAGCCTATGTCTCTGTCTGTACTGTTGAAACTGACTGCAGCTTTTATGTAGAAATGTTGAATAGAGAAACTATAATGAAGTATCTCCCGTCGATTAACGTCCAGTTGATGACATTTAATAAACTACTACTAAAGAGCTTTTCAGTTATTTTCCATTTGAAATAATAATAATAATAATGCATTATTGATGTTGTTGTTTTGTTGTCGTTAATTGTTATTGTTCATTATTTTTGCATTATTGTTATTATTATTATTATTATTATTATTATCATCATCAGTATAACAACCAAGGTATATTGTCACATCGTTGAGTGTTCTTTGTTCTAGAATGGGGTCTCTAATTTCTTAAGGATCAACAAAGGGGCTAAATTAAATATCGTGTCAGGTGTCGGATTCCCGTACCTGCCCCGAATCCAACCATGATGGGTAAGTAAAAGAAATAATGGATAACAATATGGCATTCAGCTCGGTCCCTGAATAATTTAAAAGAAGTGAATAATTACAGTCCAAAATGGTAATTATTGTTGGCGAGAAAGAAAGTCTCTTTCCTGTGAAAGTCAATAGCACTGGGCTGGGTCGCATTACTCCAAACTCCCTCCCCAGGTCCTCCCTCCGCTATCAATATTGCAGAAAGCGCTCGTTTTTACATCACAAGCATTCTGGAGACTATCATGAACAGTTAGCGAGGATAAAAGCAAGAAAATATGGATAAAGTTCACTCTTCACTTTAATCATGAAATAAATTCTGGTATTGCTTTAAATGCATTTATAGGATGTTTGTTTCATTTGATTTTGTTTTCATGATGGTCCACCACACATCATTTAAGCAAAATAACGATTTTTGTAGCCATAGTTTAATGCTTTGTTATGCTATTTTATTGTAATCCTTTTTATTAATAATATTAATTATTGCTCTATACATCCCATATTACCTTCAAGATAGAATCCACTTGATTTTGCGTTGTATCTGAAATATTTAATGCAGACACGGCTTTTAAGCTGAATTTAAGGCGTAACGTTGTAAATTACGCTTAGTCTTCATAAGAATGATTGCTCCTAAAAGTTAAACTAACCCGTGGGAACTAAAACATATGCGGGCAACAGCACACCCCTAACCCACGCCGATCCAAATAGCCCCCGGGGACAATCATTGCTTAGCCTATAAGTCCCCCGGCACCATGCAGTTTCAATAACACTATAGTTTATTTTTAAACAGACACTGAATATAGATGAAAAGCCTCGAGGCCATTCCCTTTTTCCGTTTCTGTTTATGCATTCTTTTAATTTATGCTATTTCTTATGATTTCCATAAAATATTCCCTTTCAAAACAAAATAAGTGGTAAGTTGTGCACAAACGTGCAAAATAAATGATCTGTTTTAACTACTTTCTTTTTCTTTGGTAAGTGCAGTGAATTTATATAGGTTTTGACACAGCTGTCCAGTCAGACGTTGACATTCGTGCACGAGCTCCTTAGTGTGACGGTGGTCTTTGACTGGTTTGTAAACACTTAACATTATAAACGTTTCCCTAAACGACTTGGCCTATATTTCTTCTCTTCGTTTTGTAAACATTAGGTTAGGTTCAAGAGACTTAATCAGATGACTCCTTTATTTTGCATTCTTTTCTTTCTTTCTTTTTATTTATTTTAATTTTAAAGTTGTTGGTATTTGTATTTATTAGGTTTTGGTTCGATTTAAAAAGCATGCAACAAAACACAATCACCGTTATGCTATAGAGAAAACATTTTATTGTAGCTATTAAAAGCATTCAACAACACATACCCGTTTTCCTCAGAACGCACCAGCCTAATTCCCACGTTCAAACTCGAAAAGTGGTATTTCACATTTAAACAAATCTTTTCGTAGCCTACATATACAGCATTAAGTTTACTACTACTAGGTTGGCTAATCTAAAGTCTTCCTAAATGCCACGCACGCCCCCGCACACACTGGCAGACAAGCAATCACTTTCATGTGTTAAAAGATCACGTGGTGAACTTTAAACGTCTCCAGGCCTCAATGACAGCACTGACTGTCGTCCCCATTGGTCCCGAAGGCAAATAGTTAATGTAAATATGCTGGCGCTAAGTGGGAGTGCCTCGCCATTAGTTTAGCTGTCACTTGAGCGCTGTCGAATGTCTTCAGTGGCTGTGTCGTTGAGGTCCGCACTAGCATGTGGTCATCCTCCGCGCGCACCTCAACACTAGTCGCGGGAGAGCCGAGTACGATGCAAGTCCACGCGCTCTAATAGGCCTGAGAGAAAACCGCTAAGGAAGCGCTCGTGGACATTTTATATCAGATCGGCGCGATTCCAAGGCGTCAGAACGCTCTAATAGAGGACAGATAGAGCGCATTTATCCAAAGGACTCGAAGGTTTCGAGTACGCGTTTTCCTCCACAGATAAAAGGCACTTCGCTTTCTTCTGAAAAAAGGTGAGATTTGTTTATGTATGCATTGTAAATTCTTGTTTATTTAACTGTTCAGAGGGGGGGAAAGGCATAATCGCGAGGAGCTGCGATAATAACCAAACACTGTCTGTATCTTTATCCACAATTTGTCCAAAAGCATAGCCTACTGCTTTGTATTAAACATTATAAATAAGCTACATTGCGTATTAAAATACGGGCTATAAATATTTGCAATCTATTTAAATATAGCCTCTTTACAATGTCTATAGCTATAGCTATAATCAATTGTACTTGATGCGCATTTTAAGTTTTACTTAAATTGAAAATAGAAAAATGAGTTGTAATCTTAATTATAGTTCATTTGGTTTATCAACAGATCAAAGATGTAAAACACATCTTTAGTAATTACAATTAAAGCGGCTTAAAGCTTCTTACACCTTTGTTAAGCTCTTTGGCAAGGCTCAAGGAATAATTTCCTCTATAATCTCTAGTGTTGACACAACACTTGTTTGCTTTTTCTAAACTGTCTTTTGTTCAACACAAAAAGTAAACTTGTATTGTAAACAAATGGTAAATAAATTAAAATGGACTAAGTGGAATTTCGCAGAAGTTAATAGCCTACCACTACGGCCATCTCGGTAGCCTATTTACAAAGATCTTTAGACGGAATTTTAAAAAAATAGATTAATGTAACCATGGTGGCCATCGAGGCATAAAATATGATTTTCTGCTTCTTCTTCTCATTAGGCTATTATGATTATTATTACATTTGATCTTTTTACAATTCTGTCAAATAAGACAATAATAGCGTACGTCGTTTTTTGTTTCAGTCTGTAAATCAGTAGGCTACACAATAGTGTACTTAAAAATATTCCTTCTATCCATCTTCGCAGATTTCCAGGAATGGAATCCATCCCAAATCAGCTGCCGGCTGGAAGAGACTCCAGCTGTTCGCCGAACTCTAAACAAGACTTGCAGTCTTACTCTGGGCCAACACTTAAGCCGAACCAAGTCAGTGAGACCTCTTTATATGGAATACCGATCGTTTCACTAGTCATAGATGGTCAAGAGAGACTTTGCCTAGCCCAAATATCCAACACTCTCCTGAAGAACTACAGCTATAACGAAATCCACAACCGGCGCGTGGCCCTGGGCATCACTTGTGTGCAGTGTACTCCGGTCCAGCTGGAGATTCTCAGGCGCGCAGGGGCTATGCCTATTTCCTCGAGACGCTGCGGGATGATTACAAAGCGAGAGGCCGAGAGGCTCTGCAAGTCGTTTCTGGGCGCCCACAGCCCGCCGAAATTACCAGAAAATTTCGCTTTTGACGTGTCGCACGAATGCGCGTGGGGCAGCCGGGGCAATTTCATCCCGGCCAGATACAACAGCTCGAGAGCGAAGTGCATTAAGTGTTCGTTCTGCAACATGTATTTCTCTCCAAACAAGTTCATCTTTCACTCTCATCGCACGCCGGAGTCCAAATACACGCAACCCGACGCAGCAAACTTCAATTCTTGGAGAAGACACTTAAAAATAACCGATAAAAACTCACCGGACGACGTGTCCCATGCCTGGGAAGACGTCAAAGCCATGTTTAACGGTGGCAGCCGCAAGAGGACGCTGCCAATCGGTGGGTCTGATCGTTCGTCCTCGCTTAGTACGCAAGCACCGAGAGGTCAGACCCAGAGGGAACCGTCTGAGGTGCCCCACAAAACTCTCCGATGTGAGGATGACAGGGGGAACGTGACGATGCCGAGCAGCATACGCAGTTACCCCGTTATTCCGGTGCCCAGTAAGAGTTTTGGGATGTTGCAGAAAATTCCACCACCGCTCTTTCCACATCCATACGGATTCCCGGCGTTTGGATTGTGTCAGAAGAAGGATGACGGTGTGGTGATGGGAGAGCCAAACAAAACAAACCTATCAGGTGTGTTCTGGCCGAGCGCGAAGGACAGTGCCTATCCCTCCTTTCCGATGTTTTGGCCTACAACAGGCAGCTTGGCCATGCCAACATACCACCATGCCCAGCCTAAACCTCCACCTGACGTGTTGTGCACTAGACATAGTGAGCTAGACGTGTCAGAGCAAAGTGACCGAAGCACGAGCACCCCTAAAGACAGTCTACTTGATAACGAACGGTGTTCCAGCACTCAGTCCACCAGAAACGAGGAGGATAAATCTGGGGATGAGAGCAGGTCTATAGAAGGGATACCAGCCACCCCAAGAAAAATAAGCTACATATCTGCATTCAGGCCGGTTGTTAAAGATGTTGAGAGCATCGCAAAGCTATACGGAAACAGGGGTCCGTATTCTGGTCCTCGATCTGGTTATATGTCACCAGATTTCTTGAGTGAAAGTTCTAGTTATAGATCAGTGTCTCCGGACGTGGACAGCGTGGACGATCCGGATGTGGATGTGGAGTCACATAAAGTGCACGAGGACGAGGAGTGTTTGCAGCTGACTGTGGATGACCGGCGGAGTCCTCACGGTTTGACCGTAGCGCAAAGTGACGGGGTAAAAGATCAAGACCAAGACAATAGCCAAATGCACACCGTGAGTGATCTACACACGACGAATTCAAGTGAAACGCGGTCGTCTGATTTGGAGAGCCACGGCAATAAACACACGACGCGCTTTGAAGTGAGTAACTAAATACAGAACCATGCGTAATTCCTGCGATTTTGTATTAATAGCTAAGATTATTTTCTCATTATTTTAAAAAGCAGGGTTAGGTAGCCTATTAAACGGCTTGATTTTTAATGAAATTATTCATTATTATATTTCTTTTAAACATTGTATTTATTCTCTATTATTTTAAAATATAAATAAATATAAATATCTTTAAAAAGTTGCCCGTTATATAAAAGCCGTCAGAAAAGTAGAATTAAGGAAATGTCTTTTTTTTATTTAAAAATAATAATATTATTAATGTTTTTCTTTTTCCATTCAACTATAAGTAAACCTTTTCGATTTATTTTAAATTTTATTAAGTGTGTCTTATTCTAATCTAATTTATATAATTCGGCTAATTATTGTTAATGTTTTAAAATGAGCAAGTAAGGTGAATGCATCCAGATTATGGTGATAATTGTCGCGCTGCTTTTGAAACTTAGGCTACTGATTAATTCAGGAAATTTGTTGTAAGTGGATATGGCTCTTCATAATCTTAGTTCTTTGAAAATGTAATTAGATCAAAATAGCGGACGTTCCACTCGCATTCAAATAAAAAATGCAAAATTGGATAATTACGAATAATTGTCTTCTCAATTTTACAGGTCTATTCACGTGAACGAGATGAGCACGTGCATCAAATGAGCACATCTTATTTTGGTTCAACGACCACTTACCAACGCGAACCGAGTGGTAGGCCTGTTTTCATGTGGATTTTTCTTTCTTCATTTTTTAGAAAACAAAGTCTATCTTAACATAAATATATATGCTTATAGTTAAAGACGTGCATGAAGAAGAACCTTCATCTACGGTGGAAGAGATGGAACCAAAAAATCATCAGGATCAAACCAACATCAATGAGGAGCGCCTGAAGGAACCAAATGATGGTGCGTATCGTTAACTGGACCTCCTAATATTCAACACTAGTCTGTTGATTAGCTTCATATGTATTTGTTGTGTGTGCAGACGAGGAATCAGTGCGCAAGGACACTGGCAGCAGGGTCTCCTTAATTGAGAAAAACATAGAGAGCATGGCCAAAGGTAAACAAAATATGTGCTGCATTTAGAAGAGCTGAAAAGAAAATGATTATTTGAAATTGATTTTTTTTTTTTTAAGAAATTATGGTTTCCATGGGGTTTTTAGCAATAGCATAACAATTTTGTTTATTTTGGTAATAAAACCATTAATCATTTTGCAATTCAAAGTCATTTTAAAACATTTGCATGAGCTGCTGCTTTTATTTCTTTTAACAGAGGAATTGCAGAAACAACTCGTGGAACAAGTTGAGCTTAGAAAAAAGTTGGAGCGTGAATTCCAGAATCTAAAAGGTAGGTTATGTTAAAATTCTTTTTAATGTATTATTTATTATTTAAACATATACAAAAATATCAGATCATTAACTAATTATCTAATGTTTATTTATAGGTTGGTACAAACTTACAATAACTTGAATTTAAGTAATTCTAAATTTAAATACTTAGATATTTTGATATTTTTATTTATAAGAACTGAAACTTGGAAAACAATAAATAATACTGTTTGAATATAATCAATTTTATGAAAATGGATACAAATACATTACTAATTGCCTCTGCCTGTAAAATGCTGATTAATAGTTGGTCATATAGCATAACAATTTTGTTTATTTTGGTAATAAAACCATTAATCATTTTGCAATTCAAAGTCATTTTAAAACATTTGCATGAGCTGCTGCTTTTATTTCTTTTAACAGAGGAATTGCAGAAACAACTCGTGGAACAAGTTGAGCTTAGAAAAAAGTTGGAGCGTGAATTCCAGAATCTAAAAGGTAGGTTATGTTAAAATTCTTTTTAATGTATTATTTATTATTTAAACATATACAAAAATATCAGATCATTAACTAATTATCTAATGTTTATTTATAGGTTGGTACAAACTTACAATAACTTGAATTTAAGTCATTCTAAATTTAAATACTTAGATATTTTTATTTATAAGAACTGAAACTTGGAAAACAATAAATAATACTGTTTGAATATAAATCAATTTTATGAAAATGGATACAAATACATTACTAATTGCCTCTGCCTGTAAAATGCTGATTAATAGTTGGTCATTTAAAATGAAATACTAATAGCTACATTAAAAATTACAATTAAAAAAACATATTGTCATGTGTAAACGGAGATACAACAAAGAGTCCAACAATCAACAGAGCTCAATAGATTTAGATGAGTTTTGCATAACAGGGGAACCACATAAAAAATCTGCCAACATTCATAAGTGAAAAGATTTAGCGGTCATTTGGTTGAATGTTATGCTCCCTATGAATAGATACAATTGGATGGTTTTTCATCTTTTTTTAAATTGAGAATTAATTTGACAGAAAATAGTGAACTACTGCAACAGAAACAAAATACTGAAACACGTGATAAAGTTTAGCATGACAATGATTTAAACACAGGAAAAACGAATATTGGAGAGGCTGATGAAAACGGATTGTTACAACGACAACATTTAAATGTCATGGCTGTACACAATTTTAAAATGCATTGTAAATGGTCTGTGTTCATTTTTAGACATATACATAAACATATACATAACAAACAAATAATTTTAAGTTTCAGTGCTTGAAACTTAAAAGCAGTCGAAAGAGTTAATTAGGGTCTGAATATTTTTGCAAAGCACTATATAATTGTTTATTTTGTATATAGTGATAAACATAAATGTGCTTTGATATTTAATTTACTTCACATTTTTTTCTTAGACAGTTTTCAAGACCAAATGAAAAGAGAGCTCTCATACAGAGAGGAAATGGTGCAGCAACTCCAGATTGTTCGAGGTAATCGTTTGACTTCACATGACAAGTTCTGGCTTTCTACTTAATAGAACAACAATACACTAATCAGAACTGATCACATCCTTTTAGGACTTTTTGTGGTCCTTTCTGGAGTTTGTTCAGCCCTTATGACTGTTTTATGTGCTACTAAGCATTAGGTTTATGCATTTGCATTGCTGCAGAAAGGGACTAGCATAGACAGGGATCAGATGGTTTTTATCAACTTCTGAAACGTACACTTGAATGCCTAAAAAATCCCATGCACAAAACTGAACCAGTTTGGATGAGGGGAAAAATTAGTTTTCCACACCTAAGATATCCTTTGTCTCTCCTCCGCACACTTTGTGCAGCGAGTTGGACCATGAGAGAGAGACAGGTTATGCTATTCAGCAGAAGTTAAAAGGTAATTGATTCTAGCAAAGGCAAGCAAATAATAGCGTTCAGGATAACTAAAGGACATGAAAAAAATCCTTGGAAGGCACAGTATGACAGTATTCAAAAGTGTGATCTTAAATAATTTTGATAACCCATGCCAGCTAGATGTTCATTTGTAGACAGTTTATATATTATTTTAGAAGCAGACTTGAGCCACACCACCGTTTATTATAGCAGTTATTGTCCTAGAACACATTTTTTCTCACACTCTGTTTCTCTCTATACACATATCAACACAGACTATCATGTGCCGCTTTTGTTTTAAATTATTCATTCACTTTTTTCCCAGAAGCTCACGACGCACTACACCATTTCTCGTGTAAGATGCTGACTCCCCGTCACTGCGCTGGGACCTGCACCTTCAAACCTCCTCTTCTACCGCCTTGATGGACACCTATTGAAGACATAAGTGTTCTTTAGAAATACTGCTGTGTCAAATAAAACTTTACTTTTTTCCCCTCTGCAAAACACTGTCAACCTTTAGACCTGGAATAAGCAAGTGTGTACTGTAGTATTTTAGCTCTTACACTGTAATGAAGTCATTTTCATTTGCAAAAGAGTGTTTTCAGAGTCACTGTATGTACTGTATAATTTATACAAAGTTCTAGAAAATTGCATTATAAAAAAATTGACGTCCCACTTAAAAATATTATCATCAGCTGTAGAAATCACTGGTATTAAGTGGCTATGTGCAATGCATATATTTGTTATGTATCCTGTGATACCCTTTTTGATAGTGATAGGTTAGGACATTTTGTTAAATTAGATGCAACACTAATGAATGTTTTTGTATATTTTATTTATTCCATGTCCATGTTGGTTGTTTACTCTCATCTGCATATTTGTATAATATTGATGTAAAGCACTTTAAATTGGCAGCCCTAACTACTGAAATGGGGATTAAATGATCCTGTTTGAGAGTTGGTCTTCATTTCATCAATTTCCATAACAATGAACTACATTTGCATCTGTGTAAGTCCCAAAGAACAACATGACATTGATATCAAAATCTTAGTTTGAATATACCTGTGCATATTTCCATGAAAATAACTGTATCATTATGACAGTTTTGATCATTGCAGAAATCCAAGAAGTTTGTTAAAAAATATAGTCTTAAATTCAGGGTGTCGAAGAAAGTTCCTACTGTAGTTTGCTTTATCTTGTATATACTGTAGTGTAGCATATACACATTGACGGGGCGGATGTATGATCCTCATCCCTTTATTAGACAATCCTTTTTGGTTTATTGATGAGCCGAATATATTTACTAACAATTATTATTATATAATCAATAATCTATTTTTTCCATTTATTATGTCTTTTGAGCTTATATTTAGCGTCTGAAAGATGATTGCGATACTCTTATGCTGTACTTCATATATTGATTTTTATATATTGAAAATAATGAAGTATTGTAAAGCAGACATAGTTTTTCAGTTCTCATAATTTTATGGTTTTTAATGCTTATATAAGCAGCATGAGACGTCCAACTATAGGTTACGAAGGGTTAAGATGCACTACATGTATCCACTAACACACATTTGTTTTTAACTTGGTAACTGATTTTACTGCTACTTTAGTTTCTATCTCCATGTATTGTTCACAACAACAACTTTGAAGATGAGAAGGTACTGTTGGTTCTTTCCTCTTAGCCCATCAGCTTGCCTTCCGCAGAACAAGTATTCATGGACAACATCACAAGTAATGAGACCCCACTTTTACCAACTCGTGAAACTTAGGGTAAAAATAAGTGTTCTGTCTTCATAATTACTGCTGTTATGTAGTCAGCTGTATAGGTTTCTAGAACCTTGCTATTTTAGAATCTCAATAGCTAGGTCACATAAATTGAATTTTGCAATTATGCCTAAACTGGCAATCTATAGGCTATTGCTGATTTGTGCTTGTAGAATTGGTTAGGGTTAGGAAGACTGTATCTCTGACTCTACTGTATATTGAACAAGCTGTTTCCCCCTAAAAATAAACATATTACCATATTCACTGGTTTATCAATTTAAGTCTTTGCAATCATCCAGCACAAATAAGCAGAATAATTCGATGCAGAATAATGACTTTGTTCTGACACAATGAAAAACCAAAATAAAACTATTTGATGATAATACAACTAAAAGAAACTGGATAAAATAATAAATCCTTATGCCCTCCTGAGTTGGACTGCACTGCTACAAGAAAAAGGAAATAAAGCGTCTGTTAAGAGCAGACTGTAAGGTTAAGAGACGGAATTACAATAAAAGGTGTGCGTCTGCCATCTAGTGGACACCTTTATCATGGACTCGAAATAGGATTCAAAATAGTTTTGTGTTATTGTTATTACACTCTGAAACAAATCCGAAATATTTTCAAACATGCGTTCCTGTATAAAGCTGAAAATCAAGTAAGCTATGCTTGGTTCTTTAACGTGCCTGCTTAAAAGCGATCTTACAGAAAGAGTGTTTGATTCACCCTACACACATATGGACTACAAATGTATTCATTTATTTATTTGTGTGTTTAGGCTGATGGGATAAAAAGCCTAGCAAATAGCCAAACAGCAGAAATGTTACAAATAATACTTACTAGATGTTTACGATTTTATTAGAGGTCGGGGGCCCATTCTTCGTACGTCGCTAACTCGGTTAGCTGGCGTGGTTTCGAGTATCGATACGTAGCCCCTTTTAAACCAACCCATGAACGCGCAATTATCTCAGATAACTCAATCCAGCCATACTAATCATCAACAACTGGTGCGTTCAAAGAACCGAATTAGCCAGATCCTGATTAGCGCGATGATATCATCTTGGATGTGACATTTCATCTCAGATGACGTACGAAGAACGGGCCCCAGCTATCAACTCATATCCGTATTTTATTTTTATTTATCAAAACCAGCCAAAAGATGTAAAGGATTTTAGCATTGTTGAATGTAAATGCAAATTATATTTGGTTTTGATTTTGAAAGATGGATCATGGTTGTAAAAAAAAAAAATGCACGTGGTTACAAAATTACAACATGTCATCATCCCCAAACTTTTATTTTTTTTAATTCCTGTTTTTTTGTATCGATCCGTTCGAAAGAACCGATTTGTGGAAATGACTCGGACTTCCCATCACTGGTCAACTAATACAACTGAATGCAAATTAGATCCGATTATCTGGAAAGTATGTACCGTTAACTTTTTGTTTAATCAATTCAACAACAAATTTATGAATGGTATAAATTGATAAAGCTAATCTGGTTACCGGAGATCTTGTCGATGCCGTGTATTCCATTCAGGCAATGTGAAATCGCGTAATCCGCGCGCTAATTTTTGAACTACAGCGGGATTCCTGCACGTTTGAACCGTCCTGGTCACGTGCCAAGGCTCTGATCACGCTTGCGCCAGAGAAACAAGATGGCGGAGAGTGAGGAATTGAAGGTAAAGTGTAACCCGCAAATTACGTTCAATACAGCCTTTATACAAGACCTGTTCGGCAATGTTTTGCGTCCGACCTGTTCCTGCGATTGACTTTTGAATGAAGCGCCGTTCCGTATTTGATTTAAACGCGCTTTATGAGCAGTTTTGAGCCCTGTTAAAGGAACAGTGTTATTGTTGTGATGGATCCAGCTAGCTGCCAGCTAACCCGCACAGCTGTCTGCCTGCTCGTGTGAAATTAGCTCTCTTCCATCTGAATTAAGATATTAATATTGCTAATTGTTGTTTTAACGTTTAAATGAAGCGATTAAATGGTCCATGGAGCGTCAGAGGAGTCGGTCGTAAGTGTGAAGCAGCATGTGGGTGGTGCGTAGGCTGCTAACAGCCTGGAGATTCGGTACTTTGACAGTTAGGACTTATGTAAACCATTTATAAAAACAGACAACTGCCCAGTCTCATCATGACCTAGATATCTGACAACCAAGAGTGAATTTTGGGCATCATAGACACGTTTGAACCTTTGAATCGAGTATGTGACGTCCAAAAATGCTGTCTCTGTTTACACATCAACAGATTTTGATGCAAACAATCGACCACGGCCTGTTTCTTTTAGTTTCACTGTGATTTAGTAGAAAGTTTGTTTAAAGTTGGTGTGTGTTTAGCTGCTACATAGGTGATGCTGTGAGATTGTTTGTCCTGCATTGAGACAATATATGAAGACATTTTAATGTCTTCTGTCATTGTTGTTGTTTATTATGATGTGATTTGATTGTGCTTGATTGTCCCACACTTACGTTTTCTTGTTTTAATCATGATGTGAATTCCTAGTGATATTAAAATTCATTTGGTCAGCTATTTGTTGTTGTATTATAATGTTATTTCTTATGGAGAGGTACATGTAGACCTCTACTGGCTCTGATTCTGTCACTTAGACAGTATACTGTCAAAAGTAGCTGTTAGTTAATTTTAAAGCGTTTATGGATCAGACCATTTGGCAACAGTCTTTTTTTTTTTTTTCAAAAAGAGAAGACGAGGCATGATAACATGCCCCCTTATGTAGTAGATTTTTCTTTTTCATAGAATTAGTAGCTTTATTTGGCAATGACACATTGTACCATGATACTCTTGTTGGCAGTAACAAAACATCTATTTTGTTTTATTTCTTTTTTTTTTTTTTTGTAAAACTGCTGTTATGTTTTAAGCTTTGCATTTTGGATTTGTCATTATAGGAGGCATTTCCTGTTGTTTTGCAAACAATGACACGAACAATGAGCCAAAGATTTAGTTGGAGTACCAACTTGCTACATAGGGACAAGGACATTTTGCTGCCAGAATGTAAATATAAAATATTTGGTATGCTAACAGACAGCATTGGCATTACAGGCTGAAAATAATTGTCTTTACATTTGAATTTCAATTAAATTCATATGAAAGTGTAAAATGATGAAATATTGACATTCTCAGATGACATACTTTACCCTTTTGACTCCAATATCAGGAATGTTTTTTTATGTTCAATTACTGAACCTTTTGACCCATCACTGTCTGAAATAACTCTCTTAAGATGATGATCAAATGTACACCTGTTGTAGTACTTCTAGTTATAGTATGTTATTGTGAAATTTTAATACTAGCTTTTACAGTTGCATTGCAAACCTGTATCATAATGTTTGATGTATTAGTCAAAGCAAAAATCTGATAGTTTAAACCACTACCTGGTGCTTAATGAAACTGGTGATGTTAAACATGAATTAAAAAGTAATTTTCTCTTATCATTTTGTAAATTGTTGGAGATGTGAAGGTAGTTCATTATCAATACTTCAGCCTAATTTTAATTAATTATCAATTATAGTTTGATTTATTTCATTGTTATTGAGCATCAGTGCATTTGTGGGTTATGCAGGAAGGAAGCCTGCTTTTATGCAGGTATCAAAATTACATCCTTTCAGTGAAGTGCTTCCTATGGTTAAGTTATGTCTTTGTCATAACTGAGTCAAGGCTTATGATAACCACACTCATTGAAACTAAATCAGTAACCTTACTGTTAATTCAAGTAGTTGTTTTATTAAATGCACATTTTCTGAGAAGTAGTGTACTATTTAGACTGTTCTTAATTCAGAGATCAGGGGCCCGTTCTTCGTACGTCGCTTATTACATCCGAGATGAAATGTCACATCCAAGATGATATCATCGCGCTAATTCGGTTCTTCGAACACACCTGTTGTTGATGATTAGTAGGGCTGCTGTGTGTAAGACTCGAATACAATTATGAAGT